GCCTTTGTTGCCCAGAATTGCTTTTGCTGTTCTAGGTCACTTCTGGGTCCAAATGAATTTTAAGAATGTTTTCTCTAGATGTGTGAGGTATGCAAATGGTATTTTGATTGGGATTACGTTAAATCTGTATAGCAGTTTTGGGAGTATGGCTGTTTTCACTATGTTGGTTCTTCCTATCCGAGAGCAAAGGATCTCTTTCCATTTTCTGATATTCTCTATGATCTTTTTTTTAAAGAGTATTGTAATTTTCACTGCACAGATCTTTTATATCCTTTGTTAGACTTATTCCTAAGTATTTCATTTTTTTAGATGCTGTTGTGAAGGTTGTGTTTTCCCTAATTTCTTTCTCTGTGAGTTTGTTGTCTGTGTACATCAATGCTATTGATTTTTGAGTGGTGACTTTGTACCTGCTACATTACTGAATTTAGACATTAAATCTACAAGTTTTTTGGTAGCGTTTTTGGAGTCTTCTATGTAGAGGACATGTCATCTGCAAATAATGATAATTTATTCTTTATTTCCTTTCTCTATTCTTTTTATTTTTTTCTCTTGTCTAATTGCTCTGGCTAATTTCCAGAATTATGTTGAATAGGAGTGGTGATAATGGACATCCTTGTCTTGTTCTTGACTATAGAGTGAAAGCTTTCAGTTTTTTAGCACTTAATATGATGTTAGCTATTGCTTTGTCATTGATGGCTTTTATAAGATTGAAGACCATCTATTCCAATTTTCTGTAGGGTTTTTATCATGAATGAGTGTTAGACTTTATCAAAAGCTTTTTCTGCATCTATTTAGATGATCATGTGATTTTTGTCTTTGCTTCTATTAATATGATGCATTATACTTATTGATTTGCATATGTTGAACCATCCTTGCACTCCTGGCCCAATAGCACACAATTATTTGGTCAGTCCATTTTTTTATTCATCAGTTGATGTACATTTGGAGTAGTCTCTATGTTTTGGCTGTTATTAATTTGTATGGACATATATTTTCATTTCTGTTAGGCTATAACTCTGAGGTAGTCAAGTAGGAATGGAAATGTTGGCTTTTATGGTAATGTGTTTAACTTTCTAAGGAACTGCCAAATTGTTTTCAAGGTGCTGCACCATTTTGCATTGCCGTCAGCAATTATGAAAATTTCAGTTTCTCCATATTCTTGCTGACACTTTTTTTCGTCCATTTTTTATTGTAGCCATCCTTGTGGGTGTGAAACGGTTTCTTTAATTGTGGTTTTAATTTGGGTTTCTCTAGTTATTAATGATACTGAGTATCTTTCTATGTTCTTGTGGAGTATTTGAATATCCTTGGAGAAATCTTTTTTTTTTTTTTGGTTTTTCTCCGGTACCGGGAACCAAACTCACGACCTTGCACGTTTTGCCACTGAGCTAAATCCCCAGCCCCCCTTGGAGAAATCTTTATTCAAGCCTTTTGCTCATATTTTTGATGGAGTCCATTAAAACAAAACAGTGTTCTTTAATGCTGATGAAGTCCAGTTTATCCAATTTATCTTTTATCATGTGAGATCCTGGATCAGGTCTAATAATCATAGCATAATTTAAGGTCATGATGATTTTCTCCTTTGTTTTCTAGTAAGAAAATGTGGTTCTTACGTACAAGACTATGATCCATCTTGAGTTAATTCTTATACATGGTGTGAGATAAATGTTCAACTCCTTTTTCATGTGGCTATCCAGTTGTCCTATTGGATGTCCAACTGTCCACATGTTGATCATAATGTGGCTATCCAATTGTCCTATTACCACATGTTGATCATAACATCTTTTTAAAATTTAAGTAGGAATAGCTTATGGGCTTATTAATATTTTATTCATAATAATTACAATACTATTTTTGCTCTCATTCCTGTATCAAAGCTTTTAAAGCACTATAATTAGAACAAAATAAATGTTCTTTGAGGTAAAACCCCAACTTAGTAATAACTGACCACAGATATCCTGTCATTTACTGTAACCTGATACAAAATACCGAGACTCTCACCACTGTGTCGTCCTATATTCATTCTCCCATTTATACATATAGGATGAAAAGCAGGAAAGTTTAATCCCGTGTGATGCTCCTTTGTGATTTTTACAATACCATATTATTGTTGTCCGTGCTTATGGAAGATGTCATAAATACACATTTGAAATGTAGTAAATTATTTATTCCGAACTTCACACTTACGAACAAGAGCTGAAAGCCAAAGGTTGTCCCAGCTTCAGCCTAAGGACTATGCCAGAAACAGTTTTGTATAATTTTTTAGGTTTTAACAGTTTCTGGTGGCAGCATTCCTATGGTACTCAGTCCAAACTTCTAGAGCTGAAATGGCATGAACGTTTCCACGGCTAGCGAGAAAGTAGTAGAGACTAGGGCTGGAATCTTCTCACAGACATCTTACAGATGAGTTGAAGGTGGATCTATTAGGGATAGAAACATTGGGGAAAGTATCAAAAAAGGAATGCAGGCTTTGGAATTTGATCTCAAGACTTTCAAGTCACGTAGTGTTTGAAGTCAAGGCATAGAGCCTGATGAAGTTACATTGCACAAAATTCTTCTCACTAGCTCCCTTGCATCAAAAGTCTTCATTGTCATTAATTCCTGGATCCTACATAAGAGAAATAAAGCACTTGGAAATTACCTTTGGCCAGAGATTAGACCCAGCAGTTACCACAGAATAGCCTGTTTGCTATTGCTCCCATAGCCTGAAGTTCTCTTGGATCAGGCACCACTATTACAAACCACAAGAACGACGACATTATACAGGTGATGACCATGCTCCGCCCTGCCTGCCCTTCCTGCCACACACCACTCATGTCTCCTTTAAGAACCTGCAGCAGTCCCCTACTGTCCTGTGACTCCTGTGGAGTTGTTTGTACAAATACATCTGTGCCTGAATCAAGTAGCTGATTGCTTCACTTTACATTATACTTCCTGAAGAGATCAAGCAACTGTGTGTTAATGGAGAGCTCAGGAGTGGTGTACAAAGTTTCCACAAACAGGAGAGCCTGCACCTAGGGCCCTGTGAGAAGCATACATTTTTAGGATATTTAGATGAGTGTTATAGTTAGCTTAATTCTGAATTTTGGAGCTAATCCCAAGCAAAGCAAAACTCTCTCTATCCAGAGTACAGCAAGCCTATGGGCGTGGTGGCCTCGGTATCTTCACCCTAGGTAGTCCCTTCTCTCACGTTGGTGTAGCATGCCCAGGTTGTCAAGGATGTTTTCCCTCGTATGGAGGAACTGACTCATGAAGCAGAGGCTTTCATATTTGGGTCACACTGTGTCCTGGATTTTAAAACTGAACAGGAGATAGGGTGTGGACTGTCTGTGCAATTGTGCCCCTAACTTGTGTCAGCATGCCCTGGAATTTAAGCAAAATTGAAGTATGTGCTTATATGTGTGAAGAAAATTCAAGAAGGGAGTAGAATCATTATAGGCCTCTTAATTTGAGGAAAAGTCAAATCTGGCCAGCATTTGAAATTGATTAAAATTGATTGTTTTCAAAAGCTCTGATGTTAGAATACTAGTCCTAAAGTAATTCCATCTACTGAAATTTCATTGGTTTCATTTGATTTAACTTTATAACCCTCCCACAGGTAGGATTTTATCTGTTTTACAAATGTTAAATGACTTCTTAAAGATCGTAATCGATCATAACAATGCTAAGGAAAAATAGCCTGAGTTTTTAAATCTCTATGGATGAAAGCAAGATGGAACAAGGCCAATTTATTACATGTTTCCCTGATAGAAATATTTCCTGTGAATAAAAAAATGCTGTTGCTTCTCTGTCCTTTAGATTTTTCAAGGAACATAAAAACTGGGGAAGGAGAATATATATTTTAAGAAACTTAGTCAAAGAAAATTTCTACTTATGTGGTGTGGTGGATTGACAACTGGTGCGCAACATGTAACACTCAGCTGAACTGAATCAATATGGTGCTGGGTGTGGGAGGCCCACCTGAGGACTGTTGCCAGGCGCATAAGAGGCAGAACTGGAGAAGAAGTGGGAAGGCTCTTGGGAACTGAGAGAAGCTGTTGGGAGCTGATAGAAGCTGCTGGGTGCTGTTAGAAGCTGTAAGGAGCTGTTGGTTTTCTTGGATGAGCTTGTCATTGCTAGGTTTCCTGATGAACTCTGCTGTTATCATCTGAGGAGCTTGGGACCTTGTTGTCACTGAGAATGGCTTCAGTCCACTTTAGAGGAACTCTGGTCCTCATTTTGAACATCGCTTCCTGGCTCCAGAGGAGTAGATGGTACACAGGTCAGTCTCTCGGAGAAGCTTGTCACATTGGCTTTCCTGATGGGAACTCAACTTTCCTGATTGGGACTTCACTGTTGCTGAGGATGACTGTGATAATTTTCAGGGGAGCTCTGGTTCTTACTTTGTGCATCACTTCCTGACTCCAGTGTAGATCCCTCAGCCTGCTAGCATGGATCCTACATCCCGCTGGCACAGACTTTCTAGATTCCACCCTGACCTTTGGCCTTCCCAGCGCAGGTCTGTGAAACAGACCTGCACGAGACATTGCCATGGGCTCTAGCCCTCCAGCTGGACTCATAGGGGGCATTGTTATGGGCTCTAGGTCTTCAGCTGGACTCATGCAGGACGTTGCCATGGGATCCAGACCCTCAGCTGGATTCTTTGGTCTTTAGCATGTGGACAGATTTCCTACACTGTCTTGTAAATGATTCTTCAGGTGGTTATTATAAATCATCTGTGTCCTGTATTATATTGTTTTTCCTTGCAAGAACCCCACACTATGACTTGTGCCCTTTTGTTTTAGTTATTTTAAATAAGTTTTCTTTATAAAAACAATTTTAAATTATTTTAAAAATTATGAAGACAGTGCAGAGATTGCCACATGGGCCACACCTAGTTTTCCAAAATTAAGGAACCAGTACAAATACATTATTCTTAAAGTCTGTATGTTTTTCAGATTTCCTTAGTTTTTTACCTAATGTGCCTTTTCTCTTCCAGGATTCCAGCCAGGACAGTGCAATACATTTAGTAAACATAATTGTGGCTTTTTACATCCTCTTTATCACAATTTTTCAGATTTTCTTGGATTTGATGACTTTAACAGTTTAAGGAGTACTTGTACTTTGCAGGTATGTTTACATATATAATATTCATAGGATATCCTTTCATTGAGATTTTTTAATGCTTTTATCATAATTAGATTGGATTTATGTGTTTGGAAAGGGAGACAAAGAGATAAAGTGGCATTTTCATTCTGTTATAGCGAGGATACTATCCACATATCTTATCATTATTGATGTTGACCTGAATCACCTGAGATAGTGCTGTCAGGTTGAATGCTCTTTTGAAATTTTGTTTTCTTATACAGCATGATCTTTTTATTATGAATGTTATATTTAATTTTAAACATCACTTATCCAAGCAACAGTAGCATAGAACTGGCCATTAACTGCATAGGTATATATAGTATACCTCTAGGTATATCTCTAATATAGTATATTAGAGATAATGCTGCATATTATGGAGAGAGACAGGAGGCGCAATTACATACCAGGAAAGCTGGTTCAGTGAGTTTTGAAGTTTGTCCTGTGTACAGTTCCTATGGGACAGTTGATATTATCAGGTCTTCATTAACATATTTTATTTAGCAAAGCATGGTGCAATCACTCTTGTTATTTTTTTCTCAGCATCCCTATGTGGAGGCAAAATGGAGTGTCCTTCCTGTTGGTGGATAAAGGACAGAGTTTGGAATCAGAGAGACTTGCTTTAACTTAGCTACTTTCTTCTGCCTGATCCTTGGGAAAAAATCCTCTTTGGAGCACTTCATCTATAAAATGGGCATCATAAAACAAATCTTGTAGGTAATAGAACATATGGAGTATCTCAACCAAGTTTCTCAAATATGAGACATTCAGTAAGCCTTGGTTCCATTTCTTTTCTTTCCCTTTCTACTTCTCCCAGTCCTCTATACTTATAAACTTCATCAATATGATACTGAATGGGGAAAAACTGAAAATACTTTCTCTAAAATAAGGAATGAAACAAGGATGTCTACTCTTATTACTCCTATTCAATTTATTACTTGAAATGTTAGCCAGAGTAATTGGGCAAGAAAAAAAGAAATAAAAGGGATATAAATAAAAATCTGAGAAGTCAAGCTATAGTTATTTGCAAACAACATGATCCTACACCTAGAGGAACTTGAAGACTCTGCCAAAAGACTACTGTAAGAGCTGATAAATTCATCAAAATATCAAAATATAAAATCAACATTTAAAAAACAGTGGCTTGTCTACATATCCATAATAAACTAGCTGAGAAAAAGACCAAGAAAACAGTTCCATTCATGATAGTATAAAAAACTCACCAAGAAACCCTGAAAATAAACCTAATCAAAGTGATCTACAGGCTTGATGCAGTTCTCATCAATATTCCAATGACGTTCTTCATAGAGTGAGAAAAAGAAACACTAATATTCACGCAGTCACACAAAAGACCAAAAATGGTTAAAGCAACCCTAAGCAAAAAGAGCAATGCTGAAAAACATCACAACACCTAATTTTAAATTATACCACATAGGGGCTGGGGATTTAGCTCAGCAGCAAAGCGCCTGCCTGGCAAGCGCAAGGTCGTGAGTTCAGTTCCCGGTACCGGGGAAAAACCAAAAAATAAATAAATAAATAAATAAATTATACCACATAGCCATAGCAACAAAAACATCATGGTACTGGCACAAAGATAGACAGACAGACAAATAGAATATAGACAAACAGAACAGAACAGAACAGAACAGGAGTAGAGTAGATTAGGAGCACATAGAAACAAACCTACACAACTGCTGCTTTCTGATTCTAGACTAAAGGGCCAAAAACATATGTTGGAGAAAAGACAGCCTCTTTAACAAACAGTGCTGAGAAAATGATATCCATAGGAAGATAACTGAAACTAGATTCCTATCTCACTTCATTCAAAAATCATCTCAGATTGCACCAAAGACCTAGATAAAAACCTGAAACATTGAAGCTGCTAAAAGGAAACATAGAGGAAATACTAGAAACCATAGGAACAAGCAAAGACTTCCTGAATTGATCTCACATAGCATAGGAGATAACGGGAAGAATCAACCAATGGGACATTAAATTTCAAAGTTTCTGGACAACAAAGGAAGCAGCCAACAGAATGAAGAGACAACTTATAGAATAGGAGAAAATACTTGCCAGTTATTCTTTCAACAGAGTATTAATATGTAAATATATAAGAACTAAAAAAATCAAAGAGTCAGGCAGCTCAGTCAATAAATGGGTAAACAAACTGAACAGACCCTTCTCAAAAGAAGCACCTGTGGCTAGTACATATGTACAAAAAGTTTGCACATCTTCGATCATTAAGGAAATCCAAATCAAAACTACACTGAGATTTTGTCTCACTCCAATCAGAAAGGCGATCATCAAGAATACGAAAAATAATTTATAGTGGCAAGGATGTGGGACAATAGGCAGGGAGGGAGAAACCACCCTTCTACATTGCTTGGGGGAAGTAAATTAGCACAGCCACTGTGCTCTTCCATTGTGATGTTTCTCCCTCTCCACAGGCTCAGAAGTAACAAAGAGATGAGACCATGGATTGAAATCTCTGAAACTCTGAGCCAAAATAAATCTCTCTCCTTCAAGTTGTTACTCTCAGATACTTTGTCACAGTGAGGCAAAGCTAACTGATACACAGTGTAAAGTATAGCAGGTCCTCAAACAGCCAAAAATGGAACTACCATATAATCCAGCTATTCTACTCTTTGGTATGTACCCAAAAAATTAACTTTTTTTTTTGTACAGGGAATCAAACTCAGGACCCCGCTTGCCAGGCAGGTGCTTGTGCTGTTGAGCTATATCCCAAGTCCTATACCTAAACGAATTAAAGTCAGCCTACTATCGGGATACCCTCATGCCAATGTATATTGTGGCACAATACACAATTGCTATGGTATAGAATCCGCCTAGGTTCCAATCAATGGCTGAATAAATAAAGGAATGAAGAAAATGTTTAAAATACTCCTGCGTATGCTCAGATGACAATAGAATACCAGCACCACGGTCATGAGGGAACCACAATTTTTAATAACACTTTGTCATAATTCTCAATTTCTCAGGTCCTCCTTACAGTTTTCTCTATTCATATTAATAGTTTAAAACAAGAAAATGTTAAGAGTCAAGTCACCACAATGTGTTTGAATATTGACTACTAACGTTATGTTTTTGAGGTGACTGTAATGTGTATCTTGGTGAGCAACAATAATATGAGCCTATATTATGTGTGGGGAAGTTGCATCACGTGTTCATTTAACTTAGGAGAAGACAACAAACACTCAGAACAAAAATAAATGTAGACATCTCTTGGTAGTCATAAGGAATTGATTCCCAGATCACTCAAGGATACCAACATCTGCTAATACTTAAGTTCCTTGCATAACAAGGCGCAGTGTTTGCATATCACTCACGGCATTTGCACGTCTTCTCATACACTTTAATTCATTTCTAGATTATTTATACAATACAGTGTAAATGCTGTGTATTATGCTTTAGATCTAAAATGTCCCCCTGGAAGTCTCATGTATTCAGAAGTGAGCCTGGTGGAAGATGATTTGATCATGAGAGCTCTAACTTTACCAGTGGATTAATCCATTATTGAAATACAAAATTGTCCATGCTATAATTTTTTCAGAGACGTTCTTTTGGGGGGGTTGTTTGATAAGAAAACATTTAGCTGAACTGGTGCATCCCTCATAGCCCGTTTGGTTCCTGCTACCCAAACCAATCCTCGGTTAGACTCACCTAAATCTCTCCACATTGTGTCACAAGACACATGAGGTTAGTGTATCGGAACTGTGTATTCCTAGGTCTGATTCTAAATACTTCACTGTGAATGGTAAGGGAGAGGCACCTGCCTCAGCGCCTTAAGTGCAGCACAGTGTGAGCTCCAAGAGAGAAGTTCTCTGGGCCTTACCCTTTTCTCCTCCTGCTTTAATGCAAGGAAGGCTGAGATAAACAAATCTCCACTCATCGAAACAGAGAAGAAGGAGAAATAGTTTTCTTGAAATTATGAGTTACCTGTCACGTGGCTATAGTAGAGTTATTCTTCTCTGGTCCTCCTGACCCCAGGGAAGGATAAACCAGGGATGGCAATTGAGGGAGAACTCAGAGCAATCGATTTCTACTTGCCTTCACTCATCTTTTCTTATCTTGGGCTGGTGAAGTGGGCGGGGCCAAACTAGAGAGGCAAATAGTCACAAATACAAAAACAGAACAGGATATATGAAGTGGGTTGAGCAAGGAAGCACGGATGACACCAGGGTGGAGAATATGATTCCTGTTCATACATCCAGAAGCTTGTTTGTTCTTATGCCTATATATGTTATGCTACAATATAATATAGGAAGCAGATATTTTGCTAAAGCCTGTGGGTGGGGACTCAAGTCCACTGATAATCCTGTTACCCCGTAATCAAGTGGGTAACTTTCAAGAGCTGAGGATTTGGAGTCAGAAGACCTAGGAGCATACACTGAGCCTGTCATTTCTACTTTGTTGTATTGGGCATGGTACTTAACTTCTTGGCCTTGGCATAGTCATCTATAAAATGAATATACTTTGGAGGATTAAATGAATGCATCTTGTGCTCATGGATGGTAATTTAATCTGAATTTTAATCTTAATCAATTTTAGAAAAGAAAAAAGTGAACTTTCTGTAGAATAACTGGCTGGAAGGTACAGCACATTCTTAGCTGTGCATTTTTGGTGCAGGAATTCAGCTCATAACATCCTAGAAAGCCATTATTTTGACATTTTGTTTAAGGCTAGTGCCTAATTTGACTCAGTTATTTCAGGCAGGTATGTTTTCAAAAGACCTAAGTGATATTATTAACAAATGGGTTACATCTTCTCTTCACAGAGTTAAGCCTCTAATTATATGTTGAGCTGATTTATTGGTACTACAGGCTTAAACATTTCCTAACTATTAAGACTGACTAGAGACACAGGATAACTGTCCACATGCAAGGGATCTGAATGGCAAAAACACCGCAGAGGAAGAGGTGATACCTGGTGGATGAGTCACAAGGAACGGCTCCGAGAAAGGTATTAATTAGGGTAATAGGAAATCATAACAAGCAAAATATGGGTTAAGTATCACTGAATTTCCCTTAAGGACATACTTCCTATGATAGGAGGGAAAGCCTTCTAAAGGAGATGATTAAAGCTTCCAGGTTTAAGACCTTTAAAACTAGACCGAACAGAGTCCTCAAGAGCATACCAGAGAGAAGAATCCTACCCTAGTTGGGGGAGGAGGTGATAGGTGATCTAATAGTTTTTTTGCATTGTTAAGGGCCTTGAGTCACTTATCTATCCAGTAACTGAATACACCATAAACTGTCTGGTAAATATACACTTCTCCCCCTTGAGAATACAGCTGTCATTCTTATGGGTACTGTTTTCTTTTGGGCAAAACTTCCAATAGCACTGATAAAAACTGCTTCCATTTTTAAGATCTGATGTATAGTTTGGTCGTTCAGTCTAGCAAAGGGAAATTTTACTTCTCAAGGTATGAAAGAAATAATTAATTAAGGTCGCCTGAAAGGGAAAATAAAATGGTTTAAGTGCAAAACTATCCTTAACTCTTTTTGGATCTAATTCTTTAATTTCTTACTTAATACAGCACTATTAATTTGACTTCCTCAAATGAACAATGATGAGCTGTATCTCTTAGAAACCCTATCATTGTATGTGGTGGAAAGGGAAATTGATAGAACTATCACTATTCTAAATGTAGGAAAGAGGCAACACGGAGAGATACATAGTCTTATCTTCAGAGACTTTAGACCTCACCTGTAGTTACCTACAACTGGGCTGATCTGGATCTCAGATAATATCAACCGTAAAATGTGTTCTGACCTCAATCTTGTTTGAATCTATCTTCACCTATGAGCAGGATAGGTGACTATCTTAGTAGTATCTGAAACAAGTGTCGTTCTTTAATTATCAAATCGACGCTCTTACCATTGTACCTGTTTATCTTGCCTTCCCTACTCTCACTTCCCCACCTGTGCCAGCACCCTTTCAAGTTCCCCGTATGAGTAGCACCACTATTTGCACTGCCTGTTGACACTTTCCTGTTACATATTTACCTCCTTTAACAGCTAAGTCCTTGTTTCATTTAAATCCACTTCCAAATATCTAAAATCGTCTGCTTTTCTCAACTGCCTTACTCTGATCCACACTTACCTTTCCTTTAGATGTTATAACAGCCTCTGACTAGTCTCCTCCCGTCTCTTCCTTCAGTCTGTTTTCTGCAGTTGATCTTTTAACACACTGATGCAGTGGTAGTGAACCTATGGCATGTGTGCTGTAGTGGGATGTTTGTAGCATTGAAAGTTATATCATTAAAAATTCTCCATCACTGCACTAATATGTTCATGTCCCACTCCTGCTTAAACATACTATTTCTGTGCTTCTCTCAGTGTGAACTTCAGGTGCCTTATACACTCTATTCTTCTCCAGCGTATCTCCCTCTTCTTGGTCTCACATAGAATGTCAATCATGGCCATCTCTACAAACATGCTGGCTCTTTCTTTCCTGTCTTAGCTCCTTCTACCTTTTTGTCTGAATAACACTCATTCATCACACAGACTTACCCATTGGCAGTTTATTCTCCAAATACCTTTCCATAGTCCTCTAAGATAGAATTAAACTTCCTCGTGTATACCTTTTGTTCACTTCTATGTAGCACTCGCTGCCAGACTATAATCTTCCACAAGACAGTGTTAGCCAGCACATGATAATGGTCTGAGTTCTTTCCATTGCATAATCTCCAGCACTGAGTGTAATGCTAGCACCTAGAAATACTTAGTTGAATTAATAGACAGCAAACTTCTCCCTATGAGAAGTAACACGTTGATTACAGAGCAAAAGCAATGAGGACTGGGGAGACAAAAAAAAAAAAAAAACATTTGAGATGCAATAAACTACATAAGCAATGGTGCAAGATGAGAAGAGATTTAAGATTTTTGTGAAATACAGACCGTGACCTGATTAGCTAGAGTGGAAGGTGTGCATGAGGAAATGGAGGGTCAAATTCTGAAGGCTTTTGGGAGTACTATATATGAACAATGCTTTAAACATAATTATAGTTGGAAATGACCAATTCATGATTTTAGAACAAATTAATAATATGACAAAAGTGATGGTTAAGGGAGAGTAATCCAAGAAATGTTCATGGGAACCATTGGATAAGGATGATGCTATAGGCATAAAAAGCCACTAAGAGGCTGATGTATTGTAATATATAAATAAGAAGATGTAGTAGGACAAATTGCTATGTCATGTATTTACTCCTCTCTTGCCCCACGCCTTCCAACTTTGGCTCTGGACTTGGCCACTGGATTCAGTTTGATTGGCAGGATATTGGTGAAGATGACATGAGCAAGAATGTGATATGCACTTGTGCACTTGCGTGTCTGCGCTGGCTTCTGTCATCCCCAAAAGAAAACCATGTCATAGCTCACCTGTGGACAGAGAGAGCTAAAGACCTCTCAAGCCTCAACTAAACTCAGTTTTGATAAGCTAGCCACAAGCCAGCCTGCAAACACATGGTATATGCTAAAAGAATTGTTTTAAGTTGTATTCATTTGTCTATAAATGACTCAAATTTATCTTTCTTTATGGCAGAATAGTACTGCACTGGGGATATTTCCAAGATCTAGCCAGTATAAATTGTGTTGTTTTAAAACATGGGTCTGTTTGCATTCCTGTAATATCATGAGTTTAACTCTTTTGGGGGGGATACCTAGAAAGGAGGTATCTGGGTCAAGTGGAATTTCTAGTTTTAGTTTTTTGAGAAATTTCCACACTGATAAGGCAGACACACAAGCTCAAAAATCATATGCTTTCTTTTATACAAGAAACTCAAAATATGTACATGTATGAATAAAGAGCAAATTAGAAGACAGAAAAATTGAAATAAAGAGAAATACAAGTCATCTCCCAAATTCTCTATTCTGTTGTTTAAAAAATATTTTGATATAGAGTCCTCCAAAAAATGTATATACACTTAAGAAAAAGAAAAATAATATATTTTTTCAACAGATAGCATTACCCTCATATGGGGGACACTACAGGATGTCCTATATCACAGAAAACCTACTACACATAAGAGAAGAAATTGAAAATGCATGTGCAGCAATGTCAACGACCAAGGTTACCCAGGCAGCAGCTCACCATACTAATAAACTTCTGGAAGCCAGTGGCCACCACTTCGAGCACCTCTTGTAATTGTAGAGGCCAAAGATAACATATTAACCTCAGGATATTGCAATAAATTCAGTATTGCAATATTTATGCAAGTTTTTCTTTTCTTGAACTATGTATTATTTTCTGGCAGTTTCTGTATATGCTAATTTGTTTCATGTATACTACTACTTTCTATTAATGCATCAAAAAGAAAATATTTTTGTGCCAAAAAATTCTTTTAATACTGAGTTTTGGAATGTTTTACATACAGCAATAGTAACTGTTACAGAAAATAAAGGATGAGATAGTGGTTGTCTTAGTTACTTTTCTCATTGCTAAGAGATAGAAGAGACAACATCTAAAGTAAAGGAAAAATGGTTTATTTTGGGTCACAGTTTTTGAAAGTTTCAGTCCATAATTGACTGGCTCCAAGGTAGGGTGGCATGGCAGAGAGGCATTGCAGAGGAGAAACGGTTCATAGCCGGCAGAAGGCAGCAAAGGCAGCAAGCAGCAAATGACAACAGGAGCCCTCTTTTTGTCCCTTATATTCTATACAGGCTACCCACCACTGGGTAGCACTCACACTCACAGCGGGGCACCCTTAATTCTTGTATCACACCATGAGTCAATCCCACATCCTTAACCCCAGCATTACATATATTTTTTAATGAAAAGAGGTAAAACAAAATATCACAACAAAATAATAGGAGAATAACAATAGTTAATACATTGCATATTGTTAACTTTAAAGTAGTTCCTCAGGGTACAAGACATGGGCATAAAAAATTTTCCAGTCGATGTTAGCAAAAACCTTCCTTTTCTATGAACTAAAAGGCACCAACAGTATAACAAAATTCCATTTTTTCCTCCCTTTTCCCTTTCCCCATCCTAGTTCCTATTTTCTTTTAAATAGTTTCTTCCCATTTCACAATATCTGTTGTACATTTTAGACCTTATTTACTCTTTCAATTTCTCACACCAGGGAGACAAGACAGTGTTCACATATATGAGTCTGATTTATTTCACTTAGGACAATGGTCTCAAGTTGCATCCATTTACCCACAAAATTCCCAAGTTTATCCTTTTTATCACTGAGTAGTACTCCATTAAGTAAAAATACCACAACTTCTTTATCTATTGCTCAACTGATGGACATTTGGGTTGTTTCCAAGATTTAGCTATTACAAATTATGTTGCTATAAACATGGGTGCATGTATATTGCTGTGCTATGATGTTTTTAATTGTTTTGGGAAGATACCCAAAAGGGAAACAGCTGGGTGAAATGGTAGCCCTAATCTTAGCATTTTGAAGATTCTCTGTATTAATTTCCACAGTAGCTGAACCAGTCTACACTCCCACCAACAGTGGAAAAGGGTTCCTTTTACACAGTCCCTCCAGCATTTGTTATTGGTTGATTTCTTAATGATAGCCATTCTTTCTGGAGTGAAATGTAACCTCAGTGTTGTTTTAATTTGCATCTCTTGAGTGACAAATGATACTGAATATTTTTTCACATATTTATTTGCCATTTGTATTTCATCTGAGAAGTGTATATTCCATCTCAGATGCTCATTTTTGGATTGGGTCTGTGAATTTTTCAATTCTTTGTATGTTCTAGATATAAATCCTTTGTCTGCAGAATAGTTGGCTAAAAGTTTTTCCCATTCTGCAGATTGTCTTTTCACTCTGTTGGTGATTTCTTTTGATGTCCAAAAGCTTTTTAATAGGATGATATCTCAGTTGTTGATTCTTTGAAGTACTGCCCATGTAGTTTGGGTTTTGTTCATGAACTCTGCACTTATACCTATGTCTTCAAGATTTCTACCTACTTTCTCTTCCAGTAGATTTAGTGTTTCTGTTTTAATATTTAGATCTTTGATCCACTTTGACTTTAGTTTAGAACATGTTGATAGACATGGGTCTAGTTTTAGTCTTTGGCATGTAGAGAGCTAGTTTTCCCAGCACCATTTATGAAAGAGGCTATCTTTCTTCCAGTAAACGTTTGGCCCCTTTGTCAAAGATAAGATGGCTGAGTGTATTTGTAGCTGTGTCTGCATCTTCTAATCTGTTTCACTGATCCTTACATCTGTTTTGTTTATTTTTTTGCCAGTATCATGCTGATTTTATCACAGTAGCATTGTAGTATAATTTCAAGTCAAGGATTGGGACCAGCATCACATCCTTACTTCAGCATAACACACTGTAGATCCAACCACCTTCAAAAACCCCATCAGTGGCTGCATGAGGTTTTCAGGGCAGGGGGGACATCTAGATATATGTCATGACAGTGGTATAGAAAAAAACTGAATTTATGATTATCAGACATACTGGAAGGAGAAATAGTTCTGTGGTGATCACAATTATTAAAGCTGAGTAAAAGATCACTCAAATTATCTAAAATTTTAACTCTGAAGTGAGCTAGGAATTGATTATAATTCCATGATAGAAATAACAGAAGACCCGAATTTGGATTTGTGGAATTGAAGGTGACAGTAGAAGATCTGAGGGGAAAGGATTAGTAAGAAGTCAGAGCTAGGGAGAAGGAATGCGAATTAGAGAACGGAGGATATTTTCAGTCATCACTTGCTATGGACTGCATTGTATTCCCCCCAAATCATAAATGGAAGACTTTGTCCCTATGCGACTATGTTTGGAGATAAGGATTTTAGGAGACATTAAATGAACCCAAAGGGTGTGTTACGGTTTACGTCTAGGTGCCCTCCAAAAGCCTCATGCACTCCCAGGTCAGGCTTTTGGTAGGTGATTGGATTGCCTGGGTTAGAGCCGGGCGATTGGATTACCCTGGTTTATATTACTCGGGAGTGAGGTAAGGCCAGAAGAGGTGGGTCACTGGGCATGCGACCTGCAAAGGTGTATCTTTCTCCCCAGCTCCTCCTTTTCCTCTCTTTTCGTCCCAGCAGCTATGATGTGAACCGCTTTAGGTCCTTCCACCTTGCGACTCCTGCCCTGGAACTGGCCAATTGTGGGCTGAAACGTCTACAAACTGTGAGCCCCGATAAACTGTTCCTCTTTTAATTTGTGGGGGTCAGGTATTGTGTCTCAGGGATGAGGAAGAGACTAAGACAGGATGCGATCCTCATCCAATAGAATTGTTTTCCTTATAAGAAGGTAAAGAGACATCAGAGATCTTTCTCTCCGTGTATGAATATAAGGGAGAAAAGACCCCAGGAGGACACAGAAAGAAGGAGGCTGCACAAATCAGGAAGTCCTCACCACTCGCCCTGCTAGCATTCTGACTTCAGACTTTCTAGGCTACAGAACTAGGACAAAATAAATTTCTGTTATTAAACCACCCAATTTGAGATTGTTATGGCAGCCTGAACTGCCCAATACCATTAAAAGCCCATAGAAGGGGCTGGGGATTTAGCTCAGCGGCAAAGCGCCTGCCTGGCAAGTGCAAGGTCGTGAGTTCGATTCCTGGTACCGGAAGAAAAACAAAACAAAACAAAAAAAATAAATAAAATAAAAGCCTATAGAAGAGTAAAGAGAAAGAAGAATAGAAGGCCAAGGCCGGGGCCCAAAAATACCCAAACTGAAGTGTGTGTGTGTGTGTGTGTGTTAGGCCTAGAGGTAAGCATGGAGTCAAGTGTGAAGAGATGAAAGCATATTGTGTGAACCAGAAGTATGTGTGTGCTGGGTAGAGCATGGGCTTGAACCTGACTTCAAGTTGACTTATTCCTTCTTCCTCCTGGGGAACCTTGAGGAATTACTTAACCCCTCTAGACTCCACTACTTTATTTTTTAAAATAGTAGTAATGAACGTTTCCACCTATGTGGTCATTTGAAATATTTGTAGATTAAGGCATACAAAATGCTTAATAAGCCGGGCGTGGTGCACTCACCTGTAATCCCAGCACTCAGGAGGCTGAGGCAGGAGGATTTTTGCAAGTTCAAGGCCAATCTGGGCTACAAAGTGGGTTCGAGGGCCAGCCTAAACTGCATAGTGAAACCCTGTCTCAAAAAAGACAAAAGAAAATCCTTAATAATGTGTACAACTCTTACCAATATTATTTCAGGGCCTGTGATGTACATTCAAAAGTATCGTATATGACAGATAGGTCAATGCAAAGGACAGTGAGAGAACTGTCACTAAATAATACAATAGAGAAGACTTTAGCGACCTTTGAGTGTTTCAGTACAGTAGGCTGAAGTCTGCATATGTATTTGGAGATTTGTTCAAGGAGAAAGGAATGGACACTGGTTCACAGAGAAAAATGAAGTGTGGGCAAAACAGAAATGAAAGTGACATAAGTGGATCGCCTATAGTTTAGAAACGAGGATGTATTCAAGCTAAAGTGAGGTAGAATAAGACAGGAAGGCACAGCTGGGGCAGCTAAACATGGGGGAGGGCTGCTTTGTCATAAAAAGGGTAGAAGCAAATACACGTGGTGGCAAAAGTGAAAGTCAAACCAATAGATGTTATTATCAAACTGGTCATGAAGCTTTGGATTCTACATCTGTATGACACTGGGAAAAATTGCTGCATTAACATAAATAGTCCCTAGTGTTTCTTCTGTCTTGACAGACACGTCATTTAATTGTTGGCTGTTTCTTAGCTCTACCCCTGCTATTTGGTGCATTTTAAAGCCCAGGGAGACTCACGCAATGAGTTATACATGGACAGTTCCATTTTTCTGGCTAAGCATAGCAGAGTCTAGATGGAGGGTAAGGATTGATACCAGGCAGGGGTCTTAGCAGAAGCCAAGATTATCAGCTTCTCTCAGCCCTATTTCAAATTAGTTAGTCAGACCAGGGATTGAAAACCATTTTTCTTTATGACTCCACTGGAAATATCTTAACAGGAACATCTGAAGCAAATGCATAACATTAATATTCCTTAGACGCAGTTACTTAGGTACGTTCTTTCCCTATTGGGGGTAATATTTTTCTATTCATCCTGTGTATGCCGCTTCATGCATTTGCATCCGTAGAGCCCCTTATTTGGTGAAATCCTTCTTTTGGAAAGTGTACCCGTCAGTTAATTATCTACTTACAAAGGAGGGAGGATAATGTCATTGAAAACCACTTATTCCTGAGGATTTACATAAATGCAGAATGCAAATAAAATAACATTTTCTGAATAGTTCCCTGCT